TAAGGCTAAGTATTAAATGTTGGTTAGTTCTTTATAAAGAAGTAACTAATAACATTTATATTTTCTTCTCATAATTAGAGAAATGGTTTCAGTAAATGTTTTTGGAATTAAACTGCTGTTTAATTAGTGTGTAAACACTGGTTATTTTGAGCATTTTTTTTCTTATCACTCACCCAGTGTTTTTATTGGAATGGTGTATATTAAAAAATAATAAAAACTGTTTTGATAGGTTTCTCTGATTAACATTCAGTAAAATGTTTTCCATGTTTATAAGACTTGAGTTTTATCGATTTTTAAGAATACGGGAGTTTTTTATATAAAACTGGGTGTAACTATTTTTTGTGCATGTTTTTTTTCAGGAGGAGATACAACACCAAAAAACATTTGGCTGGCAGAATCCATGCTGGACATTTTTATTGAAAATAGGTACGAACTCAAAACTCTCAACTATAAAAATGCAACTAGTAAAAAATAAAATTTTTGTTTTTGTGAAAATTTTCCTTTCAGACATTTTTCAGTGACATCTAAACCACAAGTTGTAATTTATTCAGAAAATATTTTGCTTTCATAGATTTCCCACCTAACCCCCAGTGGCTCAGGAATAAATTTGGAGGCTTATAATGCTAAAAATTGGGTTTCAATACCTGCAATGGGCAGAGCACAATATGTAGCATTGTGCTTAACAACAAACAGACTTTATCGTGTTGTTTAAAGATCTTTACTGGGAGTACATCACACCAGTTTACAAGAGTCATTGAAACACTAAGGGACGTGTTGCTCAGGAAAACTCTGACTTTCCCTGATTAATTTGTTTCTTTAGATGTTTCAATGAAAATTTAATTGTTTTCTTTTTTTTGTACAACATTTTTAAAGCTGATTAAATAATAGAAGGAACCAACATTATAGTATAGTTGACTTTTCAGTTTAATATTGCTTGTTCTGTTTAATTTTGACTTATCAGTTTAATGTTGCCTGTTCTGTTTAATGTTAACTTATCACTTTAATATTGCCTGTTCTATTTAATGTTGACTTATCAGTTTAATATTGCCTGATCTATTTAATGTTGACTTATTAATTTAATATTGCCTGATCTATTTAATGTTGACATATCAGTTTAATATTGCCTGTCCTGTTTAATGTTGACTTATCAGTTTAATATTGCCTGTCCTGTTTAATGTTGACTTATCAGTTTAATATTACCTGTTCTGTTTAATTTTGACTTATCAGTTTAATATTGCCTGTCCTGTTTAATGTTGACTTATCAGTTTAATATTACCTGTTGCATTATTTAACAGAATTGAGTAAAAACATCATATACAGTTATAACTGTAGTGTATAATGATGAATTTTTCTCTCATATTTAATATAAGATTAGCTTGCTGGTTTGTCAGTTCTGGAGAGTGATAGTAGAATTAATTTAAAATATAATAAATATAAATAAATAATAAATGTTAAAATTAAAATAAATAATGCTACATTATTAATTCTTACCCAAAAAATCTAATTTTGTAAATGACCTAAAAATTGATAATTATAATTCACACCATAACACGAAAACTGATAATATACGTAGCACCTAGACCACTTTTTACGTCTATCGTATCCCAGCCAGCATGGAAAGGCCTGGTATTAGGTGAAGGGCCTTATTGGCACTGAATATGGCAGATGTAGTATAGTTGACTTAATATACTCTACATTGCTTTCATTCATAGGTTCTTAGAATTCTAAGTTGTTGTTTTTTTTTTTCAAAGTGTTATTGCGTGAAAAACAAGAAATATTGAACTCAGTCTTTCTTCTTTTTTTCAGGGGATGGTTAGAAAAATTTTCTTTACTGGTTGCTACAGCAGTGTACACTTACTTAAGGTTAATTGTTGACCATGGGGGTCAAATACTGGCTATCTTAAGACAAAGAGAAGTTGATTTCTGTATTTCTCTACTAAGAGAAAGAGTAAGTGTTTCCTTTAAAATGTAAGGTTAGTTGTTAGAATTTATTAATTTTTAGGTTTATTTCATTAACCTTATTTGGTGATCTGATTCAATTTGTTATACAGAATGAAGGTTGGGTGTCATTTAACAAACGTTGATTTATCTTTTAAGAAATAATTTGTAGACTAATAATTAAAGTAAGTTTAAATCTACAAATTTTAAAGCTTTTATAAAGTGTGTTTTTGTAATTATATTAACTTGAAAATTTTCTAGTTTACAGAGTGCATGATGATTGGTCGAGATCTTGTGAGATTACTTCAAAATGTAGCAAGAATATCAGAATTTGAAAAATTGTGGCGTGATATACTTTTTGAACCAACATCTCTAGCTCCAAGTTTTACAGGTTAGTGTGTGTGTTATTCATCAATTAACTTAACCCATATGTTACAAGAAAGAACAAACCAGTATTATCACCAAGCCTTACAGATTAGCATTAGTTACTTTATAAAGAACTAACCAACATTTAATACTAAGCCTTATAGATTAGCAAAATTTTATTTACCGAGAATCGTCATTAATTCACGACACAAATCTAAAGGGAATTAATCGACAGTACAAAGTTATTACTAGACGTCTTTCACGTAGCAGTTAAGTGTGTGTGTCACACTTATGTGAAACTACATAATATGGTCTTTCATGTAGCAGCTAAGTGTGTGTGTCACACTTATGTGAAACCACATAATATGGTCTTTCAAGTAGCAGTTAAGTGTGTGTGTCACACTTATGTGAAACCACATAACTACATGGTATTTCATCTAGCAGTTAAGTGTGTGTGTGTGTCACACTTATGTGAAACCTCATAATATGGTACTTTCATGTAGCAGTTAAGTGTGTGTGTCACACTTATGTGAAGCCACATAACTACATGGTATTTCATGTAGCAGTTAAGTGTGTGTGTGTGTGTCACACTTATGTGAAACCACATAATATGGTCTTTCATGTAGCAGTTAAGTGTGTGTGTCACACTTATGTGAAACCACATAACTACATGGTATTTCATGTAGCAGTTAAGTGTGTGTGTGTCACACTTATGTGAAACCACATAACTACATGGTATTTCATGTAGCAGTTAAGTGTGTGTGTGTGTGTGTGTCACACTTATGTGAAGCCACATAACTACATGGTTGCCATGAGTTCGTTCAGTTTTTAGATATCCATAATTAGCTGACTTTATCATTTGGGACAATATTCTATGTCCAAAGTGAGTTTGACATTGAACCTAAAAAGTGTTTTTTTTTTCTAGCAAAAACTTTTAAGCTTTTTCATTAAATCTAAATTAAAAAAAAAAAAAAAAAACAGGAAACGATTTTGTTTAACTAAAAGCATATGTTCACCTGCT